GCGCCGGACAAAGCAATAGAGGGTGTGGGACGGCAGAGACCGCTAAAGTAGTTCGAAATTTAAGATGTTGCGAGAGTCGATCACTCATTGATATTAAAAAGTTGAGAGCAGCAGCAAGGCCAAGGTATTTATCAGAATTTGACTAGTATGACAGGCAAGACGTCGAATAGCGCCAACAGAGGATGTACTTATACAGACTACTTTTTTAATTACGATCGTAGATAGATTGCATGAAAACTTTCCCGCCAATCACTTTCTCCTTGAACTAGTTCATCTTAGAATACGGATTAATCCGCCGATACTGCACGTAAAATTTCACACATCGAGGACGAGGTCCTTAATCAAGGCGCAAGGGGCATATCATGGATGCTTCTGAAGTGTTCTTGCCGATGCAAAATAGAGGCACGGGTGCTCCCAACGTTGATGTTCATTGTAAACGGTCCACTTAGACCCTCGCGGCCGGAACGGCGAAAAACTCCGTTAGGATCAATTTGATTTGTAAACGTCTAAAGCGTATTGAACTTAAAAGGGCCACATAGGTTGAGCTCGACTTCGTAAATTTGTATGCATGGCCTTTGACTGAGTTTGCCTGTATTGTTGCAATAATTATCAAGGTTCTTCATGCATGAGCTTGCATAGCGAGAACTCTGGAAAAGGAAACAAGCCAAACGGAACGGGACAGGGTGAAAGACCGAACCCCACCAGCCCCACATTTTAACGAGCACTTCTGTAATTGAAGAACGCCTCGAAAGTTGCCAGCCCATTTCTCACACCCCTCGCAGTTGGAGTTGCACTTCGCCAACCAGTGCATGTGCAAACGAGACAACCGACGAAATCGCACCGACCTCAAATGCTGACGAGCGATTCCCGGACGTCAAAAATGTCTCGGAGGCCGTCAGCTGTCTTTCCGCACCATTTAGAGTTGGAATCGCGCACAGACTGGAGCAATCAGTACGTGTCAAGTAATGGGACCAAAGGGCCCAGTGCCACGACCTGGAACATACGGATTCGTTTTCAGTCTCTGGTGCAGTCGCGGACGAAGCAACTACGTCGGATAAACTTGGAGACTACTCTGTATGCGGTTCATCCGCAGGGGCAAGGCCACACCTATCGCAGTTGGTTAAGTGAGTTATACCCTAGCAACTGCGATCTTCAGACCATGGTTACTTAGTAGAGAAGAAGTTA